CGTTCCCGGCCAATTTAGCTTGAAGGTAGTGAAAATGCCTGGGACGGCAGAGGTCCTGGGTTCCAATCTGACCAGAGCCTGTTTTTTTTCAAACTGAAAATATTCAGTTTTAAAAAAAATTGTCCGCCAATTATTTGTCTGCTTATCTGTTGTCGGTGTAGTTGTCACATATTGGAATTGATTTTTTTCTGCCCACTTCTTATGTTGCTTTTAGTTTTGATTTACTCCTTCAATTGGTTATTTTACTTGCCTTGACTTCGTGTTCCTTTGTTTTTTTGTTTCGCTAAAAACTTTCCTCGGCCCAAATTATTTTGGCCTATTTTTTTATTGGCTGAATGACCTAATTTTGGGAAGTGTATATGGACACACAATTTTAACACTCCCTTCGCATTTTTCAAATTAGTTGAATGTTTACCAATTGGGTTTTTGAAATTTCTGTTTTTTCAGTATGGAAAATTAATTCCAAATTTATAGATAAACATTTTTTTTTCCAGAAACCTTTGCGAATTTTCGACAAAAGGGTGCCAATTGATAGACCGCCTACTCCATTGTGTGCTTTTACACTCCCCTAGAGTCTCTCTTTACTTGACCGCTCTGTCTATAGCCGTGGAAAAAGTCTGTGGGGGAATAATTAACCCATCTTTGATTTTTTTTTCAAAAAGTAGCACTCTCAAACCTTAATTTTTGCTTTCAATGAATAGAACAGTTTTGAAAAGCTCCCTGTATGAGCGGCTACGCCCAAATTTTCTTAACACATAAAGTTATGTCCCTCGGTATAGTCAATTTTATTGATTTTTGACCGTTGGACTTTTCTCGTTAACTATCCTGCCAAATCTGATATAATAGGTGTAATTGAAACTATATGTTCTTGAAAGCCTACTGTTATATTTGGCTATGCCCAGTTTGTCCAAGGAAAAAGTTATGGCCTTCAAAGAAGTCGAAGTTTTGAAAATTTGACAATTTTTTGCAGAACAAAGTAATGGATTTTTGAAAGGCTTTTGACTGTTGTTCAGAACTTGCAACCTCTATTTAGAACTTTTTGAATTTTCTTAAAATTAACACTAAAAATCTGAGATGAAAGATGTTCAATTGAAAAAACCGGTTGCAATAATGGCTCTTGCAGAAGTGGCTACTTCTTTTTTTCTTCTAAGACAGTTGTTATCTCCTTTGGAAAATTGATCATCTCAAAATTTTTACTCGTCTCACTTGTTTTAGCAGAGAAACAACTATGGTTTTGGGCCAAGTGCAACAATTGAAATCACATTTTTAGTGCCACATCAGTATAGCAAATTCGTTTAAAATCAAACACGTACCTTCTGTTTTAGCTGGATTCCTAGTTGTTTTTTATCGAGACATTTTTTTCAACATTCAAATTTTTATTCGCTTAGTTTTTTATGTTTTTGTTGTAGCACAAGTGGCGCGAGGCTCCGCATCGCTTTTTCTGTGTATCATAGTAAAGCCAATTTCAGTGGTGATTTTAGTCTAATTTCGATTAAGCAAGCAGGTTTATTACAGAAGGATAAGCCGTGAAACATATTTTGAGCCGTGAAATTTGATTTTTACTACAGCACCTATTCATTTATTTTTGTATGTTCTTGGGAATTAGAAACTTTTAAAATTCAAACAAATTTCTGCAAGCAAACAAATTTTTTTCTGAAGAAAACTTCATTTGAGTACGTTTTTGTACATGTCTTAGCTCTAGGCGTCTGTGCATACCCTTTCATTTCACGGACAAAAAAGATATAGTTTGAAAAAAACGAACTGCTTTCTTGTTTTTGGTCGGAAGTTTCTGTTACTTGTACAGCGATTACCAGTTGCCTCTCTATCGGAAACGGAATTTGTCCGAATAAAAATACCTCGTTGACCAAGCTGCTTCCGTTTCAATGTTATTTTTTCTAGAAGAGCGAGTTTTATACTCCTCGTTACTTCTGCTTGATACTTCTGGCAAAATATTTGGTATTTAAATCACAATTCAGTGAGTTATTTCATTTTTCTATCGCCGCAAATGTTTCGTGCACTTTTTCTTGTTCCCAGATGCACTGGATGCTCAATTTAGTCATATCGCCCTCAGTTGTTATGGCTTGTTGTCCATCATCGTTACAATTCGTTGAAATTCCTAAGCTCTTAAGGTGAGCTTAGGTTTCCTGATGAGATAAAAATGGGTTAGTTTTCAAAACTGAATTTGAATGGTAACTCATCGTTAAATTTGAACTGCCAATGAGTTTAGATTAAAAATTAGCTTAGATTAGCGAAATAAAGGTAATTGCATAGCAATATACCGTTTTTTTCAACTCTTAAAGTGAGCTTGAATTCGGCAAAATAACTTTTTTCCTGGCTCTAAAGTTGAGCTCCGGTTGATAGAGGCTAAAAATTGAAAGCGATTATAAACAAAGCTAAGGTGGATACTTATAATTTCTAGAAGTAGTCAGAGAAATAACTTTGGTAGCAGTTTACTAGAAGATAAGGGGACGCTGTTGCTTGTACAATAAATTGCCATGACTATTGGGCGCCGCCCATCGCTATCAAGAACTTCCTTTTTTGTTTTATATGAATTATCAAGAACTTATTTGGTTCTTTTGTCACGTACTTTTTGAAATGTTTTTCATGATTTTTTGGTGTATGAAAATGCCTTTAGTGTTTAAGAGTGTTTTTAGCTTTAGACGCGGGTAAGCGGGGCGTTTTTTGCAGCATTGATTAGTCTGTTTTTGGTTTGTGCATAATTTTTTTATGGTGTTTGCTGGTTTTGCCAAATTGTTCAGAAGTTTATTGCAGATAAATCAAAAGTTTAATTATAATTTTTACTGCTGTCAAGTTTTTTTGATGAGTTTTCTCTTAGTTTTTTTCTTCAACTTATTTCACAAGAGATTTAACCACTAGGTTTTAAACCACTTATTTGAAAATCTGATTCCAGCTCCTCCTGAAACAGTTGTCTCAGTAAATTAATGAACGAGTTATTTAGGAAAGACAATTTTCGCTGGCAATTCGAATTTAAGGTTCATGGCTTTATAAATGAGAATTAAATTTTAATTTTCTTAGTATCAAATTAATTTTGTTTTTCGATCGGTTTTTGTACTACAATTATGTTTTCACTGGATCACTGAATAATATCAGTGAAATAATATTTAATGTGTCTTTTTTGGCACGAATTGGTTACGTTTTACTCGTTTTTGGTTTTCATTATCATTAAAGTATTATTTTTACACTTGCGAAGCAAAGTGTATTAGGAGCAACTTTCTTTTTTCCAACCTTAGTCGCAATTAAAAGTGCTATTTTTGAAAGCATTTTTGTAATCGGTAAGCTGCGGTAGCAGTATATTATCATATGTGCTTTGACATTTGATTGGTAAAAAGTTAACCCAGGTGATGTATTTTTAATTCATCAAATGAACCGAAAAAAAAGTTATTTGTTAAAAAAACAGTAGAATGATAAAAAGCTCGAGTTCAGAAATTTTTCAACTCAATTTTTTGTAATGCCTAATTTATACGTAGATTGGCTTTATGCTTTTCAATTTATTACATGCAAAATTGTGTCTTTTTGTATTACGTGCTACTTTTGCTGCATCGAATTGACAATTTATTAGCATATGTAGCTGCGTTATTAGCAGCTAGTTCTTGGAGATTTTAAGCATCTGTGGCTGAGTGGTTATTGCGTGAGACTCAAATTTGCCAGGTTGTAGATTCGAATCCGAAACGTAGCCGAATTTTTGCTAATTCGAGGCTTATATCTAATTATTTTTATTTCACTTGATAGAGCTGCTTTATGTGTCAATTGTTTTTTTAAGAGTTTTTGATCGATTGTGTTTTTAAGAGTGTCTATACAATTTTAAGCTGTTTTTAAAGGGATATTTCTAGGCAGGCTCGAAATTTTAGGCAGGCTCAAAAAACCACGTTTTTTCAATTTCGTGGTTTTCTTCCTAGTTTCCTTCGGTGCATTTTCTGTTTTTTTTTTAAATTATGTGGTGTTTTTTTGCTAAAGGGTGGGGATGTTTTATCTTATTTTAGATACTTTTTTTATAAAATTGAAAGTTCCGTAATTTGTAAATTTAGCAAGTCTGATTTTGAATATCTTTTTTTAATTAAACGTTTTAAGTTTGTGTGATATCGACTTATTTGAGGATTATAAGGCAAAAAGTTCTTGTTGTGTAGGTTTCAGAAGGGATAGGTTGTAGAGACATTTTAGGTAGCACAAAAATTTTTTTAACGAAGTTTCGTTTTCGGCTTAAATGGTTGTACTCAATTTTGGTCACCTTAGTTTCACTTGGCAAATGATTCACAGTGCTTTTGAAGGCTGCTTATGAACATCATCCGATGTGCATCATCTTTTTTGTAGATGAAATTTTTCTTGACTTTTTTCTCGTTTTTTCTAATAATTTTTTCAACTACACTTTTCGACAATCGTATCTTTTCTATTCTTTATCTTGTTTTGCATTTGAAGTGCAAAAATTGAAGTGATTCCTTCTTTTTGCACGTGATGATATTTTTTTTGGTTTGTTTTTTAGGAACAGTCTTAAAATTATTTCACACTCAAATTGATTTTTAGCGGTTTGACTTTTGGTTTCTTTTCAAGTTCAGTTCATTTGTTTTGTTAAAACAAAGGCTTACTCCACTATCGATAAGCGGGTCGTTGGAGGTTACGAAAATCTTGATTGAGTTCTAGTTTCAAAAATGGACTATAACTTTCCGAAGTCCCAGCGGAATGTAAAAAAGGTAAATGAAAAAGGTAGAATTTCGAGCGTGTATTCATATTGAGTGGCTAAGTTTATACACAAATCAAAGGTAATTTGAATCAAGGAGCCTTAAAAACTGAAAAAATAGCTAATTCAGAAGCAACGATAGTACTGTCATCCTTGATGAATTTTGTCTTAAGCGAATCTTTGATTATTGGGACAGGTCGGTCGTATTATGGTATGGTTGTAAATGCGAGTATTGTAAACATATTTAACCTTGTCTTTGACGTTGGATTATCCTTGTGTTATCAACATTGTAAACACTTCTTTTTAGATTTCAAATGATTCAGTAAAGACAGCTCTGAAAGATCGAGAAAAACCTTGTAGCCTGCTCTCATGTCATATCAAATCGAAGATTTTCAGAATTTTAATCAGTTTTCATTCATTCAAAATGGCTTGGAATTGCGTAAAAAACTGGAAGAAGAGCTGAAAAGTTATAATAGAAAACAGACAGTTGTTCTTTTCCGACATGGGCATAGGACACCGTTCAAGTATAGACAACCGGGTATCTCGGCCTTACTCGAGGACTCGTTCTACGGACACTTGGACATGCAGTGTTTCGAAGGAAAAGAAGAGTTACTGTATCAGAATATTCAGTGCATTTCATCTGGAAGCGGGAGTGTCGCAGATCTCAACTTGCAGTTCGATGTGCAGTAAGTTTTCCAGGACCTGCTATTTTCTCAGGGGGGGGGATGAGGATGATCTTAACTTGATCCTTTTTTGTTTTGCTGTCTTCGGAAGATCAAGGATGGATCTAGGATTTTTGCGGTTCTTAGGTCTTTTTTTTTTAAATTACCAATATCCTAAAACGCTAAAAAAGCACTTTCTAAAAATGAATTGTCAGTTTTTGGCCACTTGAAAATTTTTAACCAAAAAAAAACTTTTTTTCGTCGCACTTCAGTTGTTGTACAAGGAACATTTTGCCATTGATTTGACAGTAATCTAATTTCAGCAAACAGAACGCCGGAATGTTGACACGTTTGGGTGCTTCTCAACTCAATACTGTTGGAAGAAAATTGAAAGAGCGCTACTCAGAAGACCTGAAGAAAATAATATCAATCTGTTCAACAAACAAAAGTGAACCCCTTTTGAACATTTCGACTAAAACGGAACGAACTATTGAGTCGTTACAAAGTGTCTTGTTGGGTCTATTTCAAGATGAAAAAACTCAACCTAGTTTTCGGGTTAAAGTACTAGATACTTCTGAAAACAACTGGCTAGGATACTCATTGCATAGGTGAGTAAGAATCTCGTTATATTGTTTCTAGTTTAGTTGCAAAAAAATTGATTTGATCAAGAAATTTTACCATACTTAATTTTGATGTTTTTTTTCACTTGCGAAAGTGAGTGTCTTTTAATCGGGAACAAATTTTACTGGCTTTTCTTACTTGCTTTATTATTGAGCCTTAAAACCTGCTAGGTTTGTTTCTACTTGCCAAAGAGGTAACGTGGTTGACTCTGCATCTTAAGGTCTGTGGTTCGAGTTCGGGCCGGACCTTGTTTTTTTTCAGTATGAATGAAATTATAAAATTCCGGGAAAATTGAATGGTCTCCTGGGGCGGATTTAGGGGGAGGGGGGGGGGGGGGGTGGGCGGGCAGACATCCCCCTTAGGGATTCGACCCCCTGCCGAGCCAAAGAGTTCCCCCTTTGTACTGTTATTGATTCCTAAACTTTGTACGGCTGACGATTCCTAAAATTTTCAAAGGCGTCTTTGGTGCCGTATTTTAATAATTTTGAGCGGGAAGCGTACACCAAAAAAAAGGCATTTTTTTGGTCAACAATTTCCTAAAAGTGCCTAAAAACACCTTTGGCGCAGAAAATTTGGTCAATAAAGGTCTTTTTAGTGCTTTGAGAAAACTCGAAGGCAACTTTTGTTGTAGATGGAAATGTTTTTGATGTATTTCTCCATGTTATAAAATTAATAGCCCTGACTTTGTGTATTTTTTGTTCTTGTTTTCCTTAAAAGCTTCATTTTGCCTAAATGTTTTGTGCTGTGCCTTTTGTCGTGTACTCGCTTGTTTGCGAAGCACAGCTTCGTCTCTGTGTTAAATGTGTTTGTAAAATAGATTTTGTCTGATTCAGACATCCTGATCTTCTGGACGGAATCGGTACAGCTCACTCTCACGACTTCAAGTGTAAATATATCAAAGGGTACGAAACATGGGCTAGTTCTTTAATTCAGACGACAGGTGCTTCACCCGAAAGCATAGATCTGCAGATGATTCGAGACTACATGACGTCATTTGAGAGATTCGGATATCCTCTGCCCGATAGCTTGTCGCAGATAGCGGAGGATAAAGTACTGTGTGGTAGAATGACCACTTACGCAGTGGCAGCTGAAAGCATGCTAGGTAATTGATTTTTTTTTGGTCTGATTAGGAAAAAACTCTGAGAAATGCTGAGAAATGAGATCTATGAATTAGATATTAAGGGAGAGGGTTTTTAATTTTAAGATGTTGTAGATTACACGCATTTTTATCCGTGCGATTAGCAAAGTTATTGCGACATGTATTTGACCTTGTTGTTCTGACTTTCGAAGAAAATGCGGAATATTTATGTTTGTGGTGGTTTTTTTATTCAGTCAATTTTTTATTCAGTCAATTTTTTTATACCATCTGACAGATATTGTATTCTTGAGCTCATAATCAAAAAGATATTTCAGCTGTGATCGTTTTTACACTAGCGTCATAGCATATGTTCTGTGCTGTATTTGTAGTTAGTGTGTGTGACTCTTAATCTCAAGGTCGCAGGTTTGAATCTCAGACGTAGCCGCGAATTTTTGCTAATTCGAGGCTTATTTATACTTTTTCTTATTGAATTTTTTAAAGCTGCTTTTTGTCTTGTTCTTGGTAGACTTTGCCAAGCGAAGCTTCGCCTTTGTGTTGTAAAGTTATGGGGGTTTAAAAGTTGCTAATTTAGACAATTTGGAATAATTATTGCGCGATATATCGCGTTCTTATAATACGCCGCGTAGGCGGCAGATTTAAGCGTTTCAAAATGAATTAAGGCAAGTTATTTGGTCATAATATTGTAATACAAGACTCAAAATACATCACTTTGTAGTATTCATTAGCGTATAGGGGGATAAATTGAAGAGAAAAATGATTTTTTCGGTTATTTTGTCAGTTGTTCCACCAAAAATGTTTAAATTGACCTTAAAGTACAATTGGAACATTACGGGCTTGGCCCTGATGTTCAAGAAGTCCTATTTTTTGTTGAACAACCTTTTTCATAAGATTCATCAGCTTAGTAGCCACCAATTTTGCTCGTTTGGCGCTTAGAAAACCACTAGGGTCCGGGGTTCAATTTTAAATAGAATTTTATGCAAAATTTTTTTAAAATGCGAATTGAATTTTTTTTCTGGGGAAATTTGGGTTGTCAGATTATCATTTCTCTCCTTATTTTTTGACGGCCTCATAATTTTTTCTGATGAAGCAATATTTTTCCGACCGCCCCCTAGGGGTAGGAAGAAACAATGGCTCAGGGTCCGTTTCACTAGTCCAGTTTGCTAATCCAAAGGCAGTTCGAAGGGTGTCAAGTGTGATGTCATGGCTCAGGGTCCGTTTCACTAGTCCAGTTTGCTAATCCAAAGGCAGTTCGAAGGGTGTCAAGTGTGATGTCATACTAAGGTCGTTTCAGCCGTTATTCGGATTCTCGAAATTTTTGTTACTGTGAAGAGAAACTTATCTGTATTTTTCGGTTTTTCAGAATAAATTAAAAATTGAATGAAGGCTGCGAGGAGTTTGATAAAAGGCTGGCCTCCAAATTTAATTCTGCTACAAGTTTAGCGTAAAAAACTTGAATGTTTTCTTCTTAGTTTTGAATTTTGAATATGCTTTATTACACAAGCATAGCTAGTGTTATTGTATTATTTATCTTTTTTTTTCCAACTTAAGTCGCAAATATTGCTGCGATGTAGACTTGTTGCGAAAAAATGTGTCCATTTTGAAATTGTTCATTTTGATCAATAACCAGCTATTAAATACAGCCAATTCTAAGGACATTAACACAGACTATGATATTAAAAAAAACACTTTAGCTTCAAGCTATTATGGATCTGTAGCGTAGAGGTAGGGGAGGACACCCGCAACAAAGTAAGGGGGTTCGAACCTGGGCAGGATCGGATATTTTTAATAATTTTTTTCGTATACTAGTTAAAATGCATCAGCTTTATAATTTAAGGCATGTTATTTGGTAAATTTCTTTTTTTCTTTCAAATTGACTGGTACTGCTAATGCGTCACAATTGGCTTGCGTCACTTAACAATTATGTAGACTCATAATTGGCGTGCGTTACTTTTTACGTGCGTCAAAGTTTTACTCATTCAGTTTTTCCCAGTAGCGGTATTAGTCATTTTTTTGCTCGTGTATACGAAGTGTAATTTCGCCTCTGTGTTATTTTTAGATTTCCTCTAATTCAGTTAGTTTTGTGAAAAAAGTACCGATGATACAAAGTTCTTGAAACTCTTAGATCTTCGACATGCTATATTGCTTCTACGAAACACGCAGATTGAATGGTTGATCTACGTATTACAAATCTGTGGTATTATAGTGAAGTTCAATTAGTTTTGATTCTGAATCGAAAAATATTGTCTGAGTCGAGAACAACTGACTGAAATTTTTAGCTCTCAGACCAATTTAGAGCAACATGATCTGGTAATTTGTTATCAAATTTAAACTTGATTCTTACACCCTTTTTTATTGATAATTGATCTGACTTTTGTAACGAAAGTAACGGAATATTTGTGCTGGGGGTGGTTTTTTCTTGAGACAAATATTGACTTTTTAACAAAGCATTTTTGACGGAGGTTTTAAAATATTATTCAAAAGGTGTTGTTATCCTGAGCTTAAAATTGAAAATTTGTCGCCTGTGATCATATTTTGCACAGTAATGGGGTTTAAAGATTGCCAATATGGCCAATTTGGGACAATTAACGCGCGAGATTTAATCCGTTTGAGAACTCGTTCCAAATTGCTTGAATGACACTTATTTGCCATTATTGATTTGTTACTAGGAGTGAAATCTATCTTTTTGTATTTTATTTGGGGTGTGAGGGGATGATTTTTTTTTTGTTTTTTTTATAACATTTAATTTTGTCATGTTATTGCTGCTCTATAGACCTTTAAAGGCAGTTGGAACATTCAGGGCTTCGCTTCAACGAGCAGTCTTGTTTCAGTTGAGAAAGGAATACAGAAAACGGCTGGCCCGTTTTTCGAAGCATTGCTGCAAATATTAGGCAATGATGACAAAATTCTCGCGTTACTGAGTGCACACGATACTACGGTCAACTTTGTCAGGCTAGCCTTGAGAGCAAATGATTTCACATGGCCAGATTTTGGTCACAACATCGAGTTCGAGCTCTATGAGCATAAAGAAACAAAGCAGAAAATGATTATGGTGCTATATAATTTGATTCCAATTGTGCTCAAGGTCCTTTGTAAAAGCGACACGGCATTAATACCTTATGAAGGATTTGTAGAGTATGTCAAGAGAAATTTGACGTTATAATTTTGCAATTAGAATGGGTTTAACTAACGCGATGTAACAATAAACCAAGTTAAAGGCCATAAAATAAACGCGTTAATGATCAAAAAATTTGCCTATTTTTTGCTGGTATTAATAGTACGCGTTGGTGTTAATAAGACTGATTGATACATCGATTTCCATACTAAATTAGTAAGGTCGTTTGAAATGTACATACTTGAGGCTTTTTCTTTGTAATATGTTCAAAACATTTGAAAGTATAAGTCAAGATAAGTTTTGTTACCGTTTTAAATTAATTTTGAACCGATTAGTGGTGATTAGTGATACGTTTCAGTTTGTATTTGTGAAATTTATTTGCGATATGGAAACTAAGATGAGAGAAGAGATTACTTTTGCAGAGTTCAACAACTTCGCATATTACGATGAGAAAAATCTGTCGAATGATTTGTCGGCTAAATACGTCTTAAAACGAGTAGTTTCTGTTTTTCGTCATGGACACAGAACGCCATTTTCCGGGAAGACAGTCGGACTTCGGAAAAAAGTATTTGACGACAAGTTTTTCTCAAATTTAAATAAAGAATGTTTCAACGGCAAGGATTTGTATATGTACAAAGAAGTATCTATAGTTCCGAGCGAAGGATTGAATTTGGAATTCGACTGCAGGTAACTAAATTGAACTTAAAAGCGAGAGGTTTTGTATGACAATTCGACGTCAAATCAAAAGATATCGTAGCAAAATCTTGCATAGAACAAAAAATACCATGTCAAAAGCTCTCATATGCGAAAAACATCCCATAGATGGTCAACTAACGATCAAATATTTTTTTAAACCAATTTTTCAAAAAAAAAGTATCCTTGCAATTTTTTCGAGATGAAATCCCAGTCATTGATTTGCAGTAATATTCATATTGCTAAAATCTGAACAGAGAAACGTTGCAATTTGTTTAGCTTAATGACTAGCGTTAATAAGCTATTTTTAATTTCTCTTGAAGTCCGTTGTTAGAGGTGCTTTTCGGTGACGAGCAAAACTGAATGACAAATTTCCCTTGATAACTTCAGAAAACGCGTCAATCGGCAGACCTGCTCATTGAAATAATGTGCCTGTTTGATTTAGTATCAACGCAAATGCAATGCTGACTACAAAAGGGGCAGAGCAGATGTTTCAAATGGGAAAAGATCTCTATAGTCGCTACAAGTCCTTCTTCGCAACTGAATTCGAAAAGAACCCCAGTCGAGCATTACGCGCAGTTTCATCACCAACAGAGCGAACAATAGAGTCACTGAAATCTGTTATGAATGGGTTTTTGGAATTTGTCAGTTCGAAGCCAAATATTCAAATTAATATCTTGGATGACGTGAAAAAGAACTACATGTTTCTGCCAGTTTCAGTGTACGTTTGATTCGCTTAAAGAGCGCTTGGCTCAGGCACTATAAAAAACTAATTCATGGGAAATTTATGTTTTTGGGTGATGGTTTTTTCAACCGTCTCCGCCTCTCAGTCAAAAGGTCGAATGTTCGAGGCCCACCATGATTCGTGCTCGTTGCTTGAGGGTGAGGCAACATTACCCAGCCGAGAAAATCAAGCAAAAAAATCCTGTAGTTCTTAAGCAGGGGCACAACAGCGGTTCTCCGTGATGAGCTGTACAGCTCGTATGTTGTTCCTTTCCCTCGTGGATAAATGGTTTTAAACCGTGCTGGCATTTTTAGTGTTCTACTTGGAACAATTTCATAGCTGAAGGCGGCTTGGCAAAGTTTGCTATCATTACCTTTAAAGCGACTATTTAAACTATTTCAAAGAGGGTATTTACACCGAAGACTTTAGTCAAGGTGTTATGGTATCGTGTAACGTTTTTTTTAATGTTGTCTGTTGTCAAGTGTCGACAAATAACGTCCACAGTTATCAATTATCATGTGGGCTGGACTATATCGCGCTATGTCACGTGATTGCGTATGTTTGTTTCTTTATTTGTTCATCTTTATTTATTTAATTATCTGTTCTTCTATTTATTTAATTATGTTTAGTTTGCTTATATTTATTTATAATTTATGTATGTACATATTTATTTTTGTTTATTTTTATCACGTGTTTTGTTTAATTATTTAATTATTCTTTCTTTCATTTAGTTTTGCTTTTATTACTTCTGCGTGTGTATTTATTTAATTTATTTATTTTCATTTATTTATATTATGGGTCTGTTTGTTTGGTTATTTGTTCATATATATTTTTTCATGTCTATTTAATTATTTTTACATTTCACTTTTGCTTTTATTTATTTATTTATTTATTTATGTATTTATTTATGTATTTATTTATTTATTTATGTATTGATTTATTTTTTTATTGCTTATTTATTTATCAGGTGTGTTTTGTTTATTTGTTGATATTTATTTCTATATTTATTTAATTATTCTTTCTTTCATTTAGTTTTGCTTTTATTATTTATGCATGTGTATTTATTTCATTTATTTATTTTCATTTATTCATATTATGGGTCTGTTTGTTTGGTTATTTGTTCATATATATTTTTTCATGTCTATTTAATTATTTGTACATTTCATTTTTGCTTTTATTTATTTATATATTTATTTATTTATGTATTCATTTATGTATTTATTTATTTATTTAAGTATTGATTTATTTTTTTTTTGCTTATTTATTTATCAGGTGTGTTTTGTTATTTTGTTGATATTTATTTCTATATTTATTTAATTATTCTTTCTTTCATTTAGTTTTGCTTTTATTATTTATGTATGTGTATTTATTTAATTCATTTACTTTCATTTATTTATATTATGGGTCTGTTTGTTTTGTTATTTGTTCATGAGATATATATTTTTTCATGTTAATTTAATTATTTGTACATTCCAGTTTTGCGTTTATTTATTTATTTATTTATTTATTTATTTATGTATTTATTTATTTATGTATTGATTTATTTTTTTATTGTTTATTTATTTATCAGGTGTGTTTTGTTTATTCGTTGATATTTATTGCTATATTTATTTAATTATTTTCTTTCATTTAGTTTTGCTTTTATTTATTATTCATGTATGTATTTATTTATTCATTTATTTATTTATGTTTATTTATTTTTGGTTTGTTCGTTCATTTGTTGGTTTGTTCGTTCATTTATTTATTTATTTAGTTAGCGTCTTTGTTTTTTGATTGTGAAATTTGATGTTTTACTTCTTAGCTATGTAGTTAAAAGCAAAAAATGATTTTCAATTTATTGTTCTGTTTAGGATATTTTCAGAAAGATCTGTATATCACCAATTAGCGTACAACGATTTACAGGGAACGCTGCCAACGAGATTTGTCCACTTGCTTTTGGGTTGCAGCTACATCAAAAATGATTCTAAATTATTTATTTTAAAGATTTATCTATAGTTATATCTGTCCGGTAATTAATTTTCAAATTTGCTTTTGTATTTCTCAAAAAAGAATTTGTTGGAGCGTGGACTCAATAACGTAAAGCAAAATGTTAAATTTTATGTTACTTCTATTTTCAGTCATGTAATGGAGCCATTTCGACCCACGGGCATTGCAAATGATGACAACAGTTGCTATCTCAATTCTGTTCTTCAGCTTTTGTTGTCAAGCGCTTGCATCAGAGATCGGCTCAGTAGACTTACTGAATTTGACCATGGTGGCGTGTTAATTTCAACTGTGAAAGAGATATTTTTTCAAATGCTGTCCACAGAAAACTTTTTCATCAATGCGTCTACTTCCAAAGTTAAAATTCTCCAGCATCTTGATTTGAATTACAGCTTCTCATATACCTATGGACATCAGCACGATGCTTCCGAGGTACTACTGTCAATTATCAATGCATTTAAATCTGAGGGCCAATGGAATTTCTTCGAAATATCGTATTCAGATAATTTCACGTGTTGTCTGTGTAATGTGTCATGGAGAAGACCTGAAACTACTTCTGCGTTAGTTTTAAGTCCTCCACGCAATGGTCAACTTCTGCAGGAGCTTGTGGTCAATCACTTCGTCAACCAAGCCGTTAATGTAACATGTCCAAATTCCACGTATCTCAGAAAGGGCAATAACAACTAAAGAACCAACCCATATTGCAAATACTGTTATTTTGCTGATTGCGCGTTACATGTTTGTCGCTGGCAATCGCGTTTACTCTAGAGCAGAAGTCACAATTGGTGAAACAATCGAAATTGGTGGATGTGATTACGGAGTAAAGGCTGCTGTTATTCACACGGGGTCTTTTGAATACGGTCATTACTTTACTGTCATAAAAACCGCTCATGAGTACCTTTGCGTTAACGATTGCACCATATCGCACCACCATGTCCCTGATTGGGGTTCTGCTTATGTTATTCTTTGTGAAAAGAAAGATATGTATCCAACACCCGCTGCCAATATTATGCTGCTGGACAATTTATCAAATAACACTTGTGGTAATGTTAAGAAATTAACAAAGTCAAAGATGGATCGGAAAGTGTACCAGGCAGAATGGGCACGAACGAAGCGCGAGAAGGCGAAGACAATAAACCACACAAATAGTTTGTCGCAAAATTCAGTTCCCAGTCACGTGGATCTAACACCAGTCTCCATTGAGTTTGATTTGGCGGCCACAATTTTTGATAAAAAGAACTCAAAAAGAGAATACAATCGGCAGCGTTTGGAACGTTTGCGTAAGAGTCCAACTTTTGTGGAGCAAGAGCGCGTATCACAGCGAAAAGATTCCATTGGTCAAGTGCGAACTGACCGCAAGCAAGAATATAATCGACAGCGATTGAGCAAATTACGAGTTTTGCCAAATTTCAAAGAACACCAACACTTGTCAAGAAGTAACGAACAATATAAGATTCTAAAGACAAATGTTGTTAAACAACATTTCCGAAATAACCCCCAGTACGAAGCTATAAATCGATTGAGAAGTCAACAAAGAATGAAGATTCCTAACGTTCTTGCTAAAAACAAAGATTCTTGCTAAAAACGTTCTTCTATACAATGATTCGAAAATTCAAAGTACCTGATCAAAGCGACTACGAAATACCCTTTCTGTCTGGTGGTGCTGGTACTGGGAAGACACATTTAACTAAAGCCATTGTTCAATGTGCTCTCCCGATTAAGACCCTTCAGATATAACTGTGCTCGTCATGGCGTCATATGGAATTGCTGCCACTCATTTAGATGGTCAAACTATCCATCACGCTCTTGGATTGAAAAAAGGAAATTCACCCAACAAAATTCTTGCCATTTCACCAGAGCGATTGCACTTTTATCAAAACAAGTATCGTGAACTCAAATTCGT